AGGCTTTGTAGTCACTGGTCTGTTGTGGCCTGCATTTGGAGTTCACTTTGCTTTCAGAATTGATGTAACATAACTATCAGTTTCCAAGTGAATGACAAGTCACATGGAAATGAATGAAAGAACAAGTGAAGTCTAGGGATCTTAGTCCGTACTCACTCGCGGTCTCGATATGGATCACATAGGGGGGAAGGAAAGATATGCCATTCTCCACCTATCTAGATAGAGCTATTGGGGTATATACTTGTCGCTCGAGTCAAGCAACGGGCATGGTAGCTATGTACTTTTTGAATGCACGCACAATGCAATCCCGCTGAGGACCAGGGACATCCCCAGCCAAGTTTCTGGACAACCAGTTATCTAGACTGTCCGGTAAAAGAAAAGGCTGAGCCTGGGTGGCAGCTGACATACGCTTCGAAATGACCTTGCCCTCGACATACCACTCCCCCAGCACCGTGAATAGAAAGGCCATGGAATTGGTAATCGGGACGGTTAGGCTTAGTTCTGCGTTCAACACCAGGCGGATTAGCCCACCACCGAAACCCCGGATACTCCACATTGAGCCAGTAAACGCCCTGGGGACATCAGCCGGGCAAGGTATCAGGTATCCTACCGTGCTTTCCGACGAGGAGGAAAAACCACACGCTCCCAGATAGATTCAATAGGAGCGGGACGGCATACTGTGGCGTCCGTAGCAGATTCACCACGGTCCAAAAGAACCCTGTAAGTTTCCGCTTCGCCCATGAGCTCCGCGGCAACCGGCGCGCGCTATTCTCCTCGGGCTGGTCCTGATGGTTGGGCTTGTTCCGGGCGCGGAACTCCACGGCGGCGCGGCGGATGAAGGGTGTGGTGAAGCCCCATGCGATCCCAACCAGCAAGAAGCTAAGGATGTAGTTGAGAGCGGAGGGGGAGGGCTCGGGAGGCGGAGTGTCTGGATCCATTGTGACGGTCGCTAGCATTCAACTCGTAGCTGTGCAGCTGCTCGATGATAAACACAGCAGGACGGAGCCAGAGGCGCAATTGGCTTGGCTTTTATTACATAATATCCCTTGTTCACATCCAGGGGCTGCATGATAGCTGACCAGCCAACTAGTTAACAGAGTAACCGGTTAAGAGTTACTCCATCTTGAACAACACGCCATTCCAACAGTTGTCAACAAGTGATGGGCGATCATCCAACAGCTTCTACAGCTTCAACAGCAGATATATGATCAACAAGCTAACCGTGCCATCTCTAACTCGCCCAGTTAACTAGTCATCCTTTTGTCCTCGATGCCTCTCACCCACTCCGCCCGCAACTGGGCCACCTTTCGTCGCCAGCCCCTTGCCGAAATCTCCGGAGCCCTTGGTGATTTGGGTACATTCCTGCCCATCCTCATCGCTCTCGCCGTCAACGGCTCCATCTCGCTTCCCGCAACCCTCGTCTTCTCCGGCCTGTATAATATCCTCACCGGCGTGTTTTTCGGGATCCCGCTGCCCGTGCAACCCATGAAGGCAATTGCCGCCGTTGCGATCTCTAGGTCGTTTTGTGCGGGCGAGATTGCGGCCGCAGGGTCCTTTGTTGGCGCCGTGATCCTGTTGTTTAGCACAACGGGCGCTTTGAGGTGGTTTGCCGGTGTCGTGCCGATTCCGGTGGTCAAGGGGATTCAGGTTGGCGCCGGGCTGTCGTTGGTGGTCGCGGCGGGAGCGAAGATCAAGGGTGAACTGAGCTGGCTTGGGCCACGGTGGGTGGATAACTACCTGTGGACGATTGCGGCGTTTGCGGGCTTGGTGGTGACGAACATATACCGTCGGGCGCCGTATGGCCTGATTTTGTTCCTGCTAGGCCTAGTGTTTGCGTTTGCTGTGCTCGCAACGTCGGACGGGCGTTTCCCGAGTTGGGGTCTGGAGTTGCCTGGCGTGGTTCGCCCTTCTCTGGATGAGTGGACCAGAGGGATCATGGAGGCGGGAATCGGCCAGATTCCGCTAACTACGTTGAATTCTATCATTGCTGTGGTGCATCTCGCCGGAGATCTACTGCCTGATGTTCGTACCCCGTCCATCACGTCCATTGGCCTCAGCGTGTCCGGGATGAATCTGCTCGGCGTATGGTTTGGCTGTATGCCCGTCTGTCACGGATCTGGTGGCCTTGCCGCGCAATATCGCTTCGGTGCTCGGTCCGGGGCAAGCGTGATCGTCCTTGGTGTTGTCAAGTTGATTGTCGGCGTATTCCTAGGGAATACGCTCATCGACCTGCTCAAGGCATTTCCTACCGCTTTCCTGAGTGTGATGGTAATCGCCGCTGGGCTAGAACTGGCCAGCGTTGGAGAAAGCCTGAATACGGCTGGTGCGTGGGACTTGGGAAAACACGATCGTTCAGGTGTCCTGCCGACCATGAGGCCAGCGGAGCTCCAGCTCAGTGAAGCGGAGAGGAAGCAGAGATGGACCGTCATGATCGTGACAGTAGGTTTGCTGCTTGCTTTTAAGAATGATGGGATTGGATTTGTCGCTGGTATGCTGTGCCATTGGAGCTTTGGCTTGCCATCACTGGTTGAGCGTGTTAGCTGTTTGCGCGAGGGCAGAATCCGACTGCCTGGTGCAAGATCAAGCTCCGGGTAATCAGCATGGTAATCGTCATGTCGATTGATCCCATACTTTTCGCGAAATACATAAGTACACATATACCCTTGTAAGACCTTTGGGAGATAGAACACAGACAATTCAAAATGATGAACACTGGCAGCTTGGCAGTCCCGACTGGGTTATGATTTAGGCTTTCTAGGCACGGCTAACACCCGACGGCTAGGCGCCCCAAGGCCCAAGCCCAAGCCGCAGCTGCCCCGCATGACCCCCAAGCACCGGGGCGTGCCAACCCTGAAGGCTCGTGATTCAGCGGGGCTTCAATATCTCTCGAGTGTTTGACTGTTTGACTGTCCAGCATATTGTCCAACGCTCACCATCCAACATGTCCTCTCACGCCGGCCTCGCCTCTGATCAGGTTGCCTTCTTCAAAGACAACGGCTACCTCGTAATCCCTGACTACCTCCCGCAGGACACCATCTCCGCTCTCCGTGCCACCACCACCGATCTCCTCAACTCCTTCCCGCTCTCATCCCACCCGCTCACGCGCTTCACCACCGGCGACGACGAGGAGGAAAACGCAAACAACGCCAAACACGTTGGGGATGAATACTTCCTCACCTCCGGCGACAAGGTTCGCTTCTTCTTCGAGCCAGACGCTTTCTCCCCCACCACCAACGAACTCACCCGCCCCAAGCACCTCGCCGTAAATAAGATCGGGCACTCCCTACACTCCCTCTCCCCGCCCTTCTCCAATATAACACACAATGGCACCATCGGCGCTAGAAACGCAGCTATCGCCCGATCCCTCGGGTTTCGAGACCCTCGCGTCCTCCAGAGCATGGTGATCTGCAAACAGCCCGGCATCGGCGCCGCGGTGCCCCCTCACAAGGACTCGGAGTTTTTATTCACAGATCCACCCAGCGCGGTGGGGTGGTGGTTTGCCCTGCAGGATGCCGGTCGTGGGAACGGCGGTCTTGGGTTCTGGAAAGGAAGCCATAAACGAGGGCGCGTGCGGCGGCGCTTTGTCCGCTCGGCGGGTGCCGATATCAGTGCCGGAACCGAGTTTATCGATTGGTCGGGGCCCGGGTTGCCCAAGGAGTTGGAAGGAGAGGGTGATGATTATGTCCCCGTCGACGAGGACTTTGAGATGCTGGATATCCCTGCGGGTTCACTGGTGTTGATTCATGGGAACGCCTTGCATAAAAGCGAGAAGAATACGAGTGAGCAGAGCCGGTTTGCGTATACATTCCATGTTATTGAAGGCGCTGAGGGTTGGAATTATGACGAGCGGAATTGGCTGCAACCCCCTGAGAACGGCGAAGGGTTCACTCGGCTATATGCCGGGAAGGAATGAAGCACATCCATGAAGAAACGAACAGTAGTTTATGTACCGAGTTACACATTAACATCCATTCAACCGCATCCTTAAGTGGCTCCTCTCTATAAATGACTTTTTCTCTCCCAGATTTAACCATTCGGTATGATGAGAAGATAGAGGACTCCCAAACGCCTCAACTTTCCATGGTGGATTTACCCCAAACCCGCAACATGAAAATCAAAACATTCGAAAATGTTCAAGATACTTTAAGCATATCCAGCATCCCTTTCGTCTGCCATGCATTCTGCGCCCGATCGACTTCTTCCTGCACCCGCCGACGAAGCTTGTCGATCAGCCGATCAATCTGCACCGATTGGCCCAGATGCCCAGAGTACAAATCGAGCACGTTCATCGAAACTTCGACACATAGATCCACCAACCTTGGGTCTGATATCGATTTATGCACCCATTTCAAAATTGGCTGCAACGTAACTTCATCTCTCCCCGACAGCGCCGTGCGGAGGGCTGCACGGTGTCGTAGCGCCGTCAAAAGTGTAACAACTGTGATTTGATTGCCGGCAGCGAGCACCTGGTCGAGAGATGCTGCATAACGGCCTTTGCGAAGATCATGTTCCCAGGCCTTTTCCTTCTTGCGCTTCTTAGTCTCCTGGGAATCGATGACAATGTCAACACCTTCACCGACAAAGTCCATTCCCCGAAAGCGCTTTTCCCACCCACGACCCCGTTTCTTCTGCTCCTTGGCGACCTTGCGATCGTGTTCCTCTAATTTACCCTCCAGGATGGCTTGCATTTCTCGTTGCCGTTCCCGTTCGCGGATCTTTTGTTCGCCAGAGAGGCGGGTGCGGATGGAGAGAACGCCCGATTGCATGCCCACGGCGATGTGCTTGTCCTCTCGCTGAGGACCGGAGGTGATGACTCCCAAGGATAGGATTGGAGAAGGATACTTGGATCCACCTACTACATTCCACCCGGTGGTTTCAAACATCTTTATATGACCATCTAACGCACCAGTGACAACTCTCGCGCCTTGCGAGGCTAATGACAAACAGGTCACGGTCTTCTGGTGGTTCTTAATCAGGTGTAGTGGTTTCCCGGCAACAACGTCTAGCACTGCAACCTGATTATCCGCGGCAGCTAAAACAGTGGTGCCAGATGGCATTGCAAGAACATTCTCTACCGGCGCGGACATTTTAAACGTCATAACTTGACGGCCTGCCACTCTGGAGTCCCATAATCTGACCGTTTGATCGTAACTGCCGGAGACCATTAGATTCGCGGACTGCGTACCGGGCATAAAACAGCCGCTGCGGACATAATCAGAGTGGCCCACGAAGGTTTGAGCACTGGTTTCGCTCGGCAAATCCCACAATCGCACCGTTCTATCGTCGCTGGCGCTGAGAAGGGTCGTTGGATCGCTGGGCGAAAACCTCGTCACCCACACCGGCTGCTTATGTTCCCGCCATGTTTTTAGAATCGACCGAGAGTTCACATCAAACACCTGGATTGTGCCTGTCTCGTCACCCGCCACGAGGATTCTACCATCGGGGCGGACTTCTGAGGATCTCGCAGTGTCATCGAACCGGGTGATCGTCTTGAGAAGCTTTCGCGTTCGGACGGAGTATAATTGGACGCGGGCGCCGGTTGTGACTGTGAAGATATCAGGTGGCTGGAGAGAAGCGGCGGAGGCGGAAGCAGAGGCAAGAGGCTGTGAGATATGGTGAATTGGCGTGTTGGACGGGGATGATATGAGGAGAGGAGTTCTGAACGAGCGCCAATAGAGCTGCTCCGAAGTGAGACGAGTGGAAGGTACTGAGGGGAGTTTCACCTGCGGCAATGGCAGAACGGGGGCCGCCATTGTCGCAGTCTAGGAATATACAAAAACAAGAGATGTATGCTATATGCGAAACCGGGCACATCTTGCTGCCTTTGCCGTCAAAGAATCGATGGGAGTCTCGGGAGCAACTTTTGGCGGACTAACGTAAATCCGTAACTAATCCGGCTACCGGATTATTAATATTCCGAGGGAGTCTCTTCCGCTCACGTGACCTTGTTAGTCAGCGTGGGTCTAGACCAGAAACAGCCAAACCAAAACAGACTTCCCCAACGGGACTCTCCAACCTCGCTGTTTGGAACTCGACGTTCATCTTCATCTTCATCTTCATCCTTCGACTCGGCTTCCAGTCCGCGCTCTGGTCTACGACTCTCTCGCTCGTTTCTTTGCCAATCTGTGGCGGTTGGCTGGTTCGCATCGTCCCCGCCAAGCAATTCTAATCGCCAGCCACCAGGCCAGGGCGCTCTCGACGTCATCCAATTGGCCGGCCCCTCTCGCAGCTCACTAACTAGCCCTACGGCACCGCTCACCAGCCTCCTCAGCCGATCAAGTCAAAGCCAACAAAACCAGAGCAGAAGCGCCATTCAGTCTTCAGATTCTTATCTCTCGTTTATCTCCCCTTTTGTTGCCTCTTCGAGAAGACTGGCTCTTCGTCTTGTTCTTTTGAGACAGACACTCATTTGTTTTTTTTTTGTGCTGCCTGCTGAGACAGGTAGTTATGCTTGTGTCACGCACAAATTCGGCTTCGTTCGGCGTGCGTCACCTAACCCAGCTCCCTCCACTTTGCTTTCGTTCTCACCCAGGCTGTGTCGATTCCGTCCCGTTCGTCTAAGGGAACCCCGTTTGACACAATAAATACAGGCGGGGGCGTGAATATCCCCTCAATTCAATAAACATTCTTTTCTTCGATCCTTCGCTTCGTTCGCTAGGACATAATGTTGAGCAAGTCGGCCCAGCTAGCCTTGGGTGCCCATACGGCGGGGATCTACGCCGATATGTCGATCGATGGGCCTCAAATCGGCACCCTGGTCGCCATTATCGACCGTGCAAAGAATCTACCCAATAGGAAAACCATGGGGAAGCAGAACCCTTATTGTGCCTGCCGTTTAGCAAAGGAAGCAAAGAAAACCGATACTGACATGAGAGGAGGCCAGACACCTAAATGGTGAGTTCAATCTGTCATAGTATATGGCCCCTCTTGATGCTGAGGATGGTGCTACAGGGATCAAGAGCTCCGGTTTACTGTTCACGAGTCACCGGACTATTATCAGTTAAAAGTCTCTGTCTTCAACGACGATAAAAAGACAGATCTAATTGGAGAAACTTGGGTTGATTTAAAGAGCGTGATCATTCCAGGAGGCGGGCAGAGTGATTCATGGCACAGCCTCAGCTGCAAAGGAAAATATGCTGGCGAGCTCCGAATTGAATTAACATACTATGATACCCGGCCGAAAGACGAAGCTGTTGTGGAACGCCGGAAGGAAGCAAAAAAAACGGAAGCCAGACATCAGACAAGTTCTTCTGTTTCCGGCCCTCGACAATCAAAGCCACCGAAGAGGAGACCATTACCTGCCGACCCTACAGGCGCCATTCCAGAAAAATCCTCATCGGTGGAGACATCAGCGGCGCCGAAGAGAGATACCCCGGCTCCTGAGCCTCATCGGCCCCAACCCCCGGAACAAGTGCGCTCAACCTCGCCATCGAAGGTCTCACGGGCCCCGGAGACCTCAGATGAACAAGGGCGGAAACGACGGGCTCATGAGACTTATCCCCCGGTCCAAAGTTCAGGCTCGAGTCACCATCAATCATCCTATCATCCCGATCGGCAAAACTACGGGGATATTCCCGATAATCCTTATCCAGCAATGCATGATTTTCCATCTGGCCGGCAGGCACACCACCACGAGGCAGGTTTCTCTGAGCAGCCGGCCAGAGTCCGTCAACCTTATCAGAATGACCCACAGAGCTCTCATCCGCACTCGCATATATCCAATCCACTGCGCCAGCCTCAAGATTATTCCAATGAGCCCCAGAGCATTGCTTCGCTTTCCACCATAGACAACTACCACCAGCACGAATTATCCAGCCATCAATCTGTGCCGAGTTCAATGCCGCCAGGGGATAACCATTTGGCCCTAACATCCCACCGACATGAATATCAAGAATTTCATGGCGACACCGATGTATATCAGGAGGCGCCCGGTCACTCTCACGCTTCAAATCAATATCAACCATATACTCCAGACTCCTACGAGCCGGCATCCCGTCATGTTACTCGCCAAATCGGAGCTCCTGAACGACTGCAAACTTCGTACGCCTCTACCTCAAGAGGTCCCCCACTTGAAAATTTGGATCTCCAGCGATATAGCACATTGGACCATTCATCACAGCTTGTAGTACGTCCTGGCGGCCACCGCGGCCATCAACACCGCTACAGTACATCGACCAAGCCCGACGTCCATCGTGAAAGTCCACTACGCCAAACCGCAAGTCAAACCAACTATCAGCACCGCCAGTACATGCAACCTCACGTCCAGGATGATGATGATAATGGGCCGCCTCCCCCGCCTCCGGCACACCGTGACGGCCTTGGTGTCCCTCCCGCATCGGAGCAGTTCACCAGTCAGCCGCAGCATGTGCCCATGCCAGAACCTTTGAGTATCGCCCCGAGGACGTCCCCCCGGCCTGTTGAGAGGCAGTCTGAGTATATCCCGTATTGTCCACAATATGCTGATTCCAATTTCACCCCGGACTCAAACCAAGTTTATTCTACATCGCCCGCGCCCTCATATAGGTCAATGACTCAGGAACCAAATTACTTGCAGGAAAGGCCAGCGACCTCAGGAAGCGATTCTGTTCCTCCTTCGTTGGTTGCGGGTTATGATTCCAACTTGGTTAAAGAACCGGACTGGGCGCTCCCAGATCGCCATGGATACCGACAAGGTAATACTCCGACACAGCCATCAACGCTAACACAAGTCATGCGCTCGTTTCCAGCTGGGTTGCCCGAAAGAAAATCTCCAAAATCAGTCGATCCCAGCCAAATCCCGGCCCGCAAGTCAGTTAGCCCTCACCCGGCCCCTTCGGTTGACCCGGACTCTCTACCGGGGATCCCGTTCTCTCCTGAATCGTACGATGCTATTAACCCAAACGCGTCCCTTGCCTCCGGTGTGGAACAGCCCGCTCCTCCATACGAAAGTGTAGAACAGGCGATGGAAGCGGCTCGACAACACGAAGTTGAGAAAATACGTACCTTGGGGCCGATAATAGGGAATGACGGCCGCACTATCGACCCATCTGATCATCTTCCTGCGGATACCTGGGCCCCAGAACCAGTAAGAAAGTCTAAGAAGCCTGAAGTTGTTGTCAGATTCAAGCATACTCCCGGCTCCAGTGCTGCTAGTTCACGATCCCTAACAACAGATCGAGAGAGGCAACCCCGCCCCATGTCTATGATAGCACCTAACCACGGATATCAATCGTCATCGGTCGTTACAGCAGTACAGTCCCAACCCAGTCGCAGTAGGCTTCAGAAGCTTACTTCACGACCACAATCCTATATTCAGCCAAGTCCAAGTGCAAGAGACCCTTCGCCACGACCTAATAATACATTTCCAAATCGTGATAGCTTCGTGGCACACAACCTACATTCTACCAGCCCAACCAATGTGAATACGCCGCGCCATTACAACAGTTCTGCGCCGCCGCCTTACAGTGATGCGTCGCCATCTCCATCACCTCGATACTCCCCTTCAACCATCTCGCACCATTATCATGCTTCTGGTCCTCCCATCCCGGCAAAAGTACCAATTCAGCCTGGATCCCGACACTATCCAGGGATGCCATCTGCCGATGGAGACATTAATGCGCTTAGCGAAGAAATGAAACGGATTGATATTGGCATTGGTAAGCGTGGCCGTAAAGGCCATACGTCGTTTATGGGTGGATATGGACAGTGATCAATTTTTATTTTATGTTATGAAAACGACCCTAATGTGTTGGCTGATACCCATGATCAATGATTCCAATGGAATAGGATGTTCATATTGTGGTTAGATGATATGGCGTGAATGAATGGACTCATCTTTTTTAATTATATATTTCTTGGATGTTGTTTCACGCCTTTTTTGCAGCTACTTGTTTAGCCAGCAATTCATAGGCTGACCATGGATGTCGCTCTGGCCTCCGTGGTTCCATAAGCTTCGTTGATACATTTGCGCAGCCATGTATTTCTCAAGGAACACAGTCGGCCGCTTAGCATTTTTCAATGCCATGGCCGATATATACCTTGCTGAATGCCATCTCGTATGGTCAGACAAGTCATCCTTGCCCTTTATATGTATGGTGGCGCTTATCGCCACGCCAACACGCGATTGCGTGGACATATAATCATTATGCGGGTTTTTCAGGGAATAAATGTCGCGGAGCCCAAAGCAAAGTTCAACTACGTGCTTGTATGATAAAAAGCAGCTTTGCTAGCATTTGTTCGAAAAAAATTGGTTTCTTTTCGGCCCAAGCGAACACTCCGAGCATAAATGGTTCAAGTTCTTCCGGGGTAGAGTGAGGATAGGATATTTGCGACTGCACCGCGAGGTCAGTGTCCGTTCTCCTTTCTCGACGCTCCTTTTGGGCTCAGTGTGAAAGTATGGAGTATGGTACCATTGCAGACACTATAGGGAAATCTAGGGGGGGAAGATAATAGTCAAGTTGAGCATAGGAGAGCTGGACTGAAACCAGAAACCCATTTCAGACTGATTGATGCACTGGCGTTGTGTTCTACTGGTGCAAGTATCATTATTTTTTTTCGGATTAACATCCAATAGCTCTGTATGTCTAGGTAGGTACTATGAAAAGAATTCATCTTCTAAAGAACCCCTAAGAGCCTCCTCTGCCGCCAAACCCGCCGTCCACATTGCCGCTGCATCATAGTCCTCTTCCTCCCGAAGAGTCCCAAAATTCCGCCGATTGGACCTTGTATTTTCTAGAGGGGTATCGCCGAAGGATATTCCATCCTCCCCATCTTGCTCTTCTAACAAATCGGCATGTAGGAGCCCTCTTTCCAGCCTACTCACATAACCAACGTTCGTGATGTCATAATATGTGGCTGATCCGGCCTCATTCTCATTTCTTCCTCCAAGGGTCTTACGCCAGTAATCGGACGTTGTCCTCGTCGACGGATCCGCGTCCGGCTCCACTGTCCAACATCCGTTTCGGGCACAGAAACTTAGAAACGCGCGCCACGTTTCGTCCTTGCCCGTACCCACGAGGACATTCGGATTGCCAATGATGACAACTCCTTCCTTGGCTCGCGTGATCGCCATGTTAAATCGTTGTTTCTCGCCCACCAAGCCGAGCGCCCTGGATTGATCAGTGTCGAGGAACCTTTGGTCGGACCGCGTGCGCGTAGTGCAGATAATGAGAAAACGGGTCTCAAGGCCTTGAAAGGCTTCTAGGGGACCTATGTTGACGTCGTAGAGGTTGTGGGACCTAAAAATCTTACGAAGGTGGCTCACTTGAGCTAAAAAAGGTGTGATTATGGCAATTTCCTTCTGGTGTATGCGTTTGGGCCGAGGTTTCGAGCCGTGTGGCCCGGAGAAATTCTTGTACTTAATCGTAGTGGAGTGTGCGAGCAGAGAGCGAGTGTATCTAAGCGCAATCATAGCTTCGGCATCATTGTAAACGCCTGTGCCAGGGCCATGATGGAGGACATCCTCTACCTGATCCTGCGAGGTATTGCAGTTGAACAAGACGGGCCATCCACACCGGCCTCTCCATTCTGGCCATGTGGGAACTGGACCCTGGGCGTGGCTAGGAGTTGCACATGGAATGAGGGTATCATTGTAGAAAAGCACGGACGGCATAGCAAGAATTGCGGGGTGCGAACGATAGTTGCGAGTAAGATTCACGAAGGCCGGACGAGGCATTGGAAGCAGTGATTTCGTTAGTTTCTTGTAAGGGCCGGCATTTCTTCGAGACAGGGGGTGATCGGCGTAGATTGGGCGGCCAAAAAGTCGTTCAAATAAGGAGATCGACAATGCTGTATCGGAATTGTATACTCGCGGTGCTAGTTGGTGTTCATCCCCGGCCATTATAAAAAGCGGTAGTGACGTTTTGTTGCCGGGCTGTGGGTCAAGAGCCAATGGATTCGAAACCACAGTGAGTGGTATGCAAACTGACGGCTCTGTTGCTTGAGCTGCTTCATCTACAATAAGCGCCGTCCAATGGAGCAGCATTTCCGGCTTCACTTGGGCGCTCGGAGAGATGGCTGAGATTGTTTCGTATGCCAGCTTCATCAGGTCTCCATTGGTCAGACGAGCTTGGACAAGCATGTCGGCATCATTACATGTAGTGACCACAATTTTGTACTTCATCATCATCTGAAAGTTAGGCAACGAAAATACTTCATTGTCCGTATACGTATACGGGAGGAGCTTATCAGGTACTTCAGCAAAGGTTCTGTTCCACCCATTTAGCCTGAATAGTTCATGCGGCTTAAGGTGAGACGAAAGGCGAAGAGCAAGTGTATCAGCAGCCGGGCTTGACGGAGCGCATATGAGGAGGTGAGGGGTGGTGTCAGAAGTACTGTCAAGCAGCTGTAGTGCGCATTCCACAACAGTCTTTGTTTTCCCAGATCCGGGCACTCCGGAGATTAGGAACGGAAGATCCCCAAAATTTCGAGAGACAACCGAATCCACGGCTTTCTGTTGTTCGTAGTTAAGCTGTGAATCGCTCCAATTGCGGTCGAATGAACCTTTTGGTAAATCCTTTTGCGTTAGACAATGCTTCTCCTCTGGAAACAGCATGCGGCGAATCCAGCCATGTTTATCTCGAGCGCTAGGAGTGGAATCATAACTATTAGCTGCGTGGGTTTCAGTTCCGCTGATCTTTTGAATTGCTCTCCACGACGCAACGTAGGAATCAAGTGGTAGGGTAAAAGACACATTGCAAGACTTGGACGACCCGAAAAAGCCGTCCACTCGAATGATAACGGTTTCAGTGGGCTTTGAAATACCCCATACATAGGAACGGATCTGAATGCCGTTGAAACCTGGAGCCACAGAGCCGTTGAGCCCGTTTTGGTTGTTGGATACCCATTCCAACCCTTGTTGCGTGATTTGAGGAAACGGAAAAAACTGGCGCACAACGACCATATCGCCGAGGGATAGCTGTGGGGTATTGTCTCTAAGGCCTGGAACCTTCAGAGTGTAAAGATGTTGTTGCTGGTTTTTTGGTTCTAGCGTCGTGTTGAAAAGAACCAAAGGTGATAAAGTGGCTGAATGGCTAAAGCCTTCAAGCGTGAGACATTCAGAAAAGTAATCAAAGTAGCTATCAGGGGTCAAGTTCCTTGGATGGCGGGAGATGGTCACTGGCACCTCTCTGAATTCTGGGTGGATTTGCGGGACCGGGTCCAGATAGAGGGCGCCAGCAAAGCTCCGGATATAAGCTCCAAAGTCAATTGAGCTTATTTGCTTAGAAATCTTGTCCATCGCTGGAGACTGCTGGATAGCCCAGAGGTACGAAGGAATATAACTCGGGGCGTTAATGTCCGGCTTCCAATCCGTTGAATTGAAACCGAACACGCTGTTGCTTTGGTTTACAGATGCCATTTGTAGTGGCCGCTGGTTTTCATGGCTGAAAGAGATCGTGACCGGTAATGTGCTTTTGGCGTAAGTACTATCGTTCGGCGGGGTTTGCTTCATTAAAGGTAGCCCATTCGTGGTTTTGGGTTCGTCTTGGTTGCGTCTGGCATTCCCTTTTTGCGCATGTGGCGGCGGGCTTCGATGAGTTGCTGCTCCATCTGGAGTGGTGTGTTTGACGGCTGCCACCTCGGCTCCGGTGGTGGGATCGACGATGCGAATAGCCGCTTTTCGTGAAGGGATCTTGAACGACATATTGGGCTGTTTCGTTCAAGGGCTCCGTGTGAAATCAGGCGGTATATCTGACACAACGTGTTGTAATAAGCAGCTCATAGCCTCTTTTCTGCAGTCCATTAGCTCCTGCAGAAGGGCTAAATATGGGTTTGTGAAGGCTGCAGCAGATGCTGCTTCAAACCAGGACTGCGTTGCCTTCATACAGCAGGCGGCAGAAGAGTCCAACCCCACCGCATGCCTAAGTTGGGGTAGAGGAGGCTGGCAGACGGCGGCACATCACTCACAAGTGAGTTGTGGGGAGCCTTGCAATTGCAGGCGGGGGGTTCACTCTGTTGTCATAGCACTAATGCAGGAATATAACAGCCTTGTACTTCACAAGACACACACATCATCCACTCCCCAAGCCAAACTGCCTCCAAACGCAAGATATTCAAGAGCAACAGGACTGAAGAATCGCCTTTCTGAGTGGAAGTCGAGATGCCGCAATCGTCCCGGATGATGTAATCAGAGGTGTTTTATACTGTTACGGTAAGTACGGAATGGTATGGACTGACATGTGGCTGTGTATGCTTATGTAATGAATACAGCCATCGCCTGCGCCACACATCGCGACCGCACTCGATGGGATCACCAGCAATAGACAACGAGGACATCAATATCATTGAACCAGGGGTCAATTTACAAACAGAGGATCTACGCTCTCCGCTTGCATGCTTTGGCGTTGCCTGCCTTTTGCATCCGAGGCGCCTAACCGAGTGTCTTATGAGAACTTGCATCTGCAATGAGCTGCAAAGTGCGCTCTCATGCTTGCGTATGTTGAGGGTGGCCTTGGCTTTTCGCGGGCTTGTTTCCATGCTTCATATCCCTCCTGCAAATGGCTTTGGTGCCTTTCTCAGCTAGATCCGTGCTAGGTGGACCTTAGCGAGAGCGTCAGGCTTTCTTGTCCGGTCGGTATTGTGGCCTCGAGCTGGCCCTACTGCAATAGTAGATCTGGATAACGGCCTAGCTGTCCGGACTTTTATACCATCACTGCAAAATCTCGCGATTCTATCGTATTCTTTAGACCATATTAACAACAAGCTACATGCTGTTTAGTCATGGCGTGAGAGTGAGGGCTTTTAGAATCTCCTTCGCCGCTTGAAGGCTTCTAGTCTGAAGCAATGATGAGAAGTCCTGCGAAAATATATTCTGGAAGATGCCTGTATTGTAAACCGAAACATCTGCAAAATCGAAGCACCAGTAAGTATCCCACCATTTACCTTGGGCCTCATGTGGATTTTGCTCACCAAAGACGTCTGCAGCCCCTAGCCCAATTCCAGTGCTTGCTGAAGGCATGCTTAAGGCAGTATCGGTGAGAGAAATGGGTGATTGACAGGTTGATCTAGTGTGCTGTGTGTGCCAAAGATGCCATGATGGCTGCCATTCACACTGGGTCACGTTATCTTGCCCTTGGGCTTGTCTGCACACTCAACTCGTCCCTCAAGTTTTGCTGCTCTCAGTGCCACACTTGTTCATTCCGATACCTCACTTATTTGTCTGTGATGCTCACTAGGTTGTGTGCTGTGATCATATCTTGCCAAAGCCTTTGATCCTGAAGGGACATACCGCTGACTTGCTCCAAATCTTAGGAGGAAAATCCTCCTCCGTTTCAATTTGGGACGAGTATACCGGATTTTCCCTGATATCGTCATTGTCTGGCTCCGGCCGTGAGATCAGGCGAATATCGATCCATTCACTTCCCCTCCCAATTCGATACACAATACTCGGTTGTCCTCATTCACCTCACGACAAGTCCTATTGTGCTCCTTTTCTTCACTTTTTCAATAAGTGAAAACTTTTCCTTTTCACAGTCATACCGTGTGTAACTCGATTTCTTTCTCTTGGGCTGCCTACTATCCGTTCACCGTTTTTCACTTGGCCTCGATGATCTTCTGCTTCCCAACTCCAACCTCCAAACATTTCGAATCATCATATTCTGCGCTTGTCAAAGACAATACATCTTCCCTGTTGAGCCCTACTCCTCCTGTGTCATCCTTCAGCTATACTACCTTTTCCTCGCTTGATATCCCATCGAATCAATCTCACTCGACTATCACAGCAGCCCCGCTTTAACTTTCATTATCAAAGATATCCTCAGTCAAACGAATCCAACCCATTTGCCTATTCTCGCTGACCTGGTCTGACCGAGTTCCTTGAGGTTAGCTCTATTCTCTCTTTGTATTCTCGGGTTGAGTTTTGACCACCCCTTGAGCTGATTCATCATCAAAAAAAGCAATGTTACTTTTTCTTTGCTTAATAGCCCTGCTAACCTCGCTGTGGAAATGATAGAACAATGAAAAATCTAGAGGGTCAACAAGGGCCCCGCTGCCAATTTAGCGGGGAAGCATGCTCGACAGAGTCGCCTCACTATCGCAAGGTCATCTCCCATATTTTTGGGAGGAATAAACGATGCACGATTGGCGTCCCGGATTTCGTTTGGATTTACTATTGCCGGAAACATTATCAGCGTGCCCGTTATCGAACTGGCGAATGGCCTTTTAGACAATGCGACCTCGCCATTGATACCATAAAGAACATGCGAGCTTGGGGTGGTGTCGAAAACTTTAATCTTCAACTCCGTCGCCGAGAGACACAACGAGCTACAGGAAATGAAGATCGTTATGAAGAGGAAGATTCAGCCATACTCGCTGCGGATCAAGGGCCTGTCACGAGCAGTCACCATGTGAATGACGGAGATTCTTCAATGGAAACGGCCTTCAAAGAAGAGCGGGAGTCTAGTTCTGCCGAACCGGAGACTGCCGAATTTAAAAAGCGTTCTCCAAAAATAATACCTCGCCCTGTACCTCACTGGCTCTATGATCGCGTTGGGGACCATAAAAACTTCAATGAAATTCTTCAAATGCTCCGCGACCTTCGACACCATCTTCAGGAATTGATTGATAGTGGCCACGATGCCCATTTTCCAGACATTGAAATCTTGCCAAATCTCCGCCAACAGTCCCCGGTTCTCCGTCCAATTGCGGGCAAGTCTCGACGAGTCTCTTCTCGTGGCAATGTCGAGAAAATCGCAAAGAAGTAAAGAATTATAGATTGATATCCCCGTTGATGGTGAACCGATTGGAAGCGGGGTGAATGCAGCCTAGTGGTGTCGGAACAGAATCGGTTACCGCTGATCCTCAACGGTTTATGTGGATTGGGGCTCAACTCTGAATACTCAACGATCATGGGTTTAGGGTCAGGGGTGTTGTCTGCAATTGTTATTTTACATGGTTCAGTTGTTGCATATTTTACCCAATTGTGTTTCCATTTTATTTTCCCACCCGCTTTTGCCTTGGTTTGTTGCTCGTTTTGGCGTTCCTGGTTCCACATTATGACTCTCCTCCTTTTAATGCCTTGATTTTTATGACTGGATACCCCCATTCAAGATCTCTATCTCAGGCTCTGGTGGCTTCTGGCATGATCTTAAAGACGGTTTATGACTGGTATAACGTCGGGGTGTTTCGTCCGCTACAGTTTGCATAGATTCCTTTGATTTGTCCCCCATGCGGTGTTTGGCTTTTATATTTCTGGGCTATTGCAGTAAATAAATTGAGCTTTGTGATTTCTTAACTGGGTTTCTCTAGGGTCTTTTTCTACAGGTTGATGCATTCTATGAGGTTGAAATAGTAATTAACTAATGCAGAAAGTGTTTGTTTCGAATCGCCTATCATTTCTCAAGTATAAACCCTAGGGCTATATGGTGTACTAACAGAGAATATTCCGTCACATCAGCAGCCTTGTCACAATGGGCAGCAGTTGAATAAATACTATGCCAAAGACGTTTAATGTTGAACATCGGGAGACTCTGATTGGATTAGTAATCAACTTGCCAAAAACAGCTTTCTAGCTTCTCCGCTCCGCTCCACTCCACCCTTCCTCACAACCTCCGTTCCGCAGCCATGGCCCCGCTCTCCCGCCATCGGACTCTCCTCCTAACCCTCGACGCTTTCAACACCATATTTCACCCGCGCAGGCCAATTCCTGCAATATACGCCGGTGTTGCACAAGACCTCGGCGTCATTCCCTCCGACATATCCCACGACGTGGTCAAAACCGCTTTCAAGGCTGCCTTCAAGCACAATAGCGCACATTACCCAAACTATGGCCGGGATACACCCGGCTTTGGCGGACCCAAGGTATGGTGGGGGAATGTCATCCGAGAATGCTTTGCAAACGTCAAAGGGCGTGACAGCACTGTGAATGATATACCGGATCGCTTGGTGGAAACGCTGATTGGTGTGTTTGAAGGGGACTCGGGATATAAACTGTACGACGATGTAATTCCGTTCTTCAAGAAGCTGCAGGCTTGGAAGGATGCAAAAAGGTCTGGGAATACTGGGAAAGATTGGGATCGAATTGTCATCGGAGTCGTTTCGAATGCGGACGACAGGGTGCCAACGATTCTACGGTCACTCGGCCTACACGTGGGGAGTGCGTGGGCAAATAGCGGGGAGTTATTGCCCACTGTTGATAAGGCATATGGCGCGATGGAGGGAGAGAACGACATTGACTTTATCGTGACGAGTTATGAAGCCGGAAAAGAGAAGCCTCATAAACATATTTTCGATGTCGCTCGAAAACGGGCCGAAGAGCATTTGAGGACATGTGGTGCTGATATTGATTGTCCATTCCCCGCCGGAAATGACCTTTGCGTCCATGTTGGAGACGACTATCACGATGACTACGAAGGAGCAAGGAATGCAGGTTGGGGAAGCTTCCTACTGCTGAGAGGGGATGTCGAGGTGCCAGAGCAGGCGCAGAAAACAGCCCACTCGATTCCCGACCTAGATAAGCTATTCCATTTATTGCAAATCAAATACGATAGTTGACTCGTATGCTTGATTGAACGGTTCGCCTGCACCGTCTTCACATTCAGGCAGGTCAGATATTCCATATATACTCCCAAAAAGCCTATTATGACCCTGCACCTTCAGATATCACTTTAAGTGTGTCAAGCGCCAGCTTGCAGCCCCATTTCAACAGCCGTTTATCCCGTTTCGAAGTTACCACATCCGATTTTGCAACGACCGTACGAATAAAATATCTTAAGCCGGCTACAACCTGTGGTGTATCTCGCGATTTCAAGAAAATGTCCACGAGTGGCTTTTCGTCAAAACCGCCGTCCCCGGTCTCACCGGCTTTCTGCTGTTTGCGTAACGACTTTTGCTGTGACTGTTGGATGGCAGTTATGAGCAGCAGCTCAACAAAAGCTTTGGTCTTTGGTTGTAGATATAGGAAGTCGAGTGTTTTCAGAACTCCAAGAGAAAGGCCTCCCTCCGCTAATAGCCAACCGTACATTTTTGCAAGATTAACAACGGCTCGCATGCTTAGGGCTCGGTTTTCATCTTCATCCGCATCGAATTCGTCATCCGCCGAGCCGCCGCTTTCTCCCATCCGTTTGAATACATCCCATAATGAAAATTGGAAGGCCATCTTCATTCTTCTATCGCTGCAAAGCTTTCTTGCGATCAACGTATAATATGGGTTATACGTACCTTCTTCCGAAGCACAATGGATGAGAACTTGCGGGATCTCAGTTTCTTGATTTCGTTTCAAGCGCAGTTTCGTCAGGCGTACGTGAGCATCCTGGCAGTCGGACGCAGACAATATTGCCACGAAAATTGACCGGCGAACCTGGGTATTCATTCGATGTGTTCTAGCCAATTGAGCCAGATCTACAGCCCGGCCGTCGCCTAGATCGTCGTCCAGGGTATCTGGGAGAACCGCGTGTGGATTGACATTGGCCATGTCAGTATCCGCGTTGCTAGTTGATCCCGCTTTCCAACTCGCACCCACGAGCCACCATTTGCCCCGTTTATCGGAATTGTGGATATCCGCCCGCCCAATCCGCAAAGGTTCGGTAGCTCTGGTAGCCCTTGTGTTGAGCGAACCGAGAATCTTCCTCATTTTTGTGATATGTTCTGATGAGATACTTGCCCCCGGGGCATTTTTTAGCTTGTTATTTTTGAGGTCGGTGATCATTTCGATCATGAACTTGGTACGGACTGAAAGCGTGGCTTCTTCAACCCGGGCTACGGCCGGCTGGATGAGGAGCACAATGTCTTTGAGAGCGGAAGGGTCATCTTGCCGGAGTTGTGGGCCAGAGTCTATCACATGTTAGTGTCAAGAATTGGGATACGCTCGTTCCGAGTAACAGAATGGTAAGAACTTACTTCGCACCACTTTCAGGAGCAGCTCGGTGTTCAACTCGTTGATAGTTTTCAAGAACAAACGAATATAGTCAAACATCAAGCCGCATCCGATGACATGGAAATTATAAAGATGAGATAGCAACGACAACATATTCGTCATACTCTTCTTGTTCGGTTCCTCCTTCTCCTCCATCTCGTACAAGTAATCAAAGCGTTCCACAATATTTTGGATAAATTCTGCACCAAATTCCATACCCACAACCTTATATAAGGCAGCAATGAAACCCGCGTGAAGAATGATGAATGTGTCATTCAAAGTGCCCCCGCTGCAAACTAGGCCAAATAATAGCTCAATGAGCATGGACGTCATAGTTTGTCGAGGGTGTTCCCGGTAGAGGCTCTCAATATCACCGAGAATAGATATCATATTAGCCTCTGACAGCTTGTTCAAGTGGCCTTGAATTTGCCTTCTTAGCCGTGAAGAGGATTCTGATTCGGAGGACGGTATCCGTTTGGATGGGGGGACGTATTTCGTAGCGGCTACATCACTGGCAGCGCCAGGAGGCCGATAGGGATTCTCTCTTTGTTTTGGTTTTTGAGCCGCTAATTCGTCGTTATCATCGTCAAAGCCCTCAAATTCGTCGTCCTCACTCTGGCTAAAGTCTTCTCCTTCATCCTCCTCGTCCTCGTCATCCATTTCCTCACTATCCGTAGCATGTTCGCCCGCACGCTCAGTATACATCTGTGCCTTTTGTCTTTTTCGTTGTAGCCACTCTTCTCCCTCTCTCTTGCGCTTCTTCTCCTCAGCGTCCGATCCTGATTCTAAATCGCCTAGCAAGTCGCCCAATCCGTCTTCCGCAAACACTTTGGGTAATTTCTTTTTGTTCTTAAGACCAAGCTTTTTTTCCAAAGCCGCGATCTCAGCATCATCTTCTGTGAGCTTGTCCTGAACGGCCTGAGGTATTTTGCGATGATTCGGCTCCGGGTCAACTTCCGAGTCTTCGTATTCATCTTCCCCTTCATCAAGGTCAATGTCCAAGTTATCCAAGTCAGACTCTTCGGATTCCGGCTCCACAGGGTTCGTCCTTTTCAAAATCGACTTAAGCTTCTGTGGCTTATCAGGTTGCCTCGCTTTCGCTCGCTTTCCTCCATGGCCATCGTCAAAAGCCTCGTCTCTCTGCTTCCGTTTCTGATTATGGCTCCTCCCCTGTTGTGGTCCGGTTCCTTTCCGCGATCTTTCTGCTTTCCGACGCTCCTTTCGCGACAATTCGTTGCGGGCACCACTGTGTCTTGCGCCAGTTTGGGACGTATCTTTGAGGCCTAATTCTTCGCGGAGTTGCCGGGGGAGTAGTGTTGTATTATGCGAAGGCCGGGTCATATCCACAGGAGGGAATCTCTGTCGTACAATTGCCACTTATTGGCTTGCGCATACACAGTCCGGCGTCAAAGTCTTCAATTACTTTTTTTGTTCCTCAGGAACGAAGTGGTCCGTGCACTGGACGGCCAGGTCTTGGCAACATCAACCGGAAGCGTTCAAAAGCACAGGATACACTGTGCACAACAGGCCGGTTCATGCAGTTTTCTCAGCCCCGAAGAGTTTCAAGTATATATTTTTGCATTCTGCTCGAATATCTTGCTCACAGAACCGCACTACCATGACTTCCCACCACCTCTCGAACGATGAGGTATGTCGAATCGCTTCTCGGCCTGCCTTGCATATAGCTAACCTCCAAGCAATAGTTCTTTACACATCTAAAAAGCCTCTTAGCCAACCAATCCACCTCCGTCCGCGGGTCCATTTTCCTTACACAAAAGCTCTTACCAACTCAACCGTCCAGCCAGTCTACGACCACGAAGACGACATCTAGCAATGACTCCCCTGCATCCGAAGATGTAACAACCACAACGACCACCTTTCCACCCAGTCAGTCGCCAATCCTTATCCGCGCCTCGAATGGCCGCCATAAGACTGCCAAAGTGAAGGCTTCCACAGTCGTCCAGCCGGAGGAATTAGAAGCATTTTACCTACGATATGCGGAGCTGTGTAAAGCGGGGATGGTGGGGTTGAAAAGGAGGGATCGGAGTGGGAAGAAGAAGGGGGAAATCAAAGGGAAAGGTCACAAAAGGATGACAGATCGTTCATGGTGGGAGAGGAACGCCTGGTGCGGAGTATGGGCCCACGGGACACAGAAGACAACCGCGTACGACGGATACGCTGGAATTTTTACGCACTGATTTTATGGCCGGTGCATTTATTTGGCATCAACCGGTGTTTAGACGGAGAAATTTGCGCCTTTGGACATGCAACAATCGCGAGTTGCCTTCATTGATAGAATACCATGATCATTTGCGAGCGGGCGATATGCAGCCTGTGGAATGGAGGCGGCGATGTTAAAATACCAAGGACGAAAAGCTAGAATTACATATTCAGGGCGTCAACGGGGCCATACCACGTTACCGCCCAAGATAAACCAGAAAAGCCCATTATACCAGTGCGCATCAATATAGGTTCTCGCCAAAAAGATAATTAAAACAGATTTCAAGAAATGTCAATAAACTTCATAGCTCTGGAATGGAGACTTGGTATCTTCGCTTATCAGTCCACTTCGTCTGAAGAATCCGCGCCCGACGGATAATCTCTGCTTTGCTTTGTAGCAGCTGAAGAAAGCGGATTGCCAAAGTCATCTTCACTCCAAATATCGTCAGTATCGTCCATCGTCTCAGGTCGAAAGGAGGGTCTCCTCGGGCCAGGACCTGCTGCGCCCCGAGGGTTATCCCCCGCAGCCACTTCAGCTGCAAGTCTTAAAAACATCACTAAAAGGTGTATAGGGGGACCAAGTACAAAGGTATAGGTCTTTTCAAAAACAGCATCAATCAAGTTATTAATAGGAGACCTTGGAGTGGGTGTAAATAGCGTCGATGATGGTGGTAAGGGAGAAAAGGAGCGCTGCCTTGAAGCGCGAATGCGTCGGCGGATAGTTGAGTTTCGGTTCTCTACAGGGACCTCTAGATCATTGTGGGTTGGAGCTTGGGGAGATGAGCCCAATTCAGCTGATGTGCGGGAGTTGGTAGAGGTGTCTTGGTCGTGGATAGTTGGCGGGGGTGACAGTGGTGGCGGTGACAAAGGGCTAGGATCGTCTGCAGGCTCAGGGACGACGGTCGCTACGGAAGTATCTCTAGTATGGCTAGGCTTTGTAGCCACATGCGGCGGGCTTTCGGACGCAGGTAGTCGGGGAGACGGCGGAGTGGAATAGGATTCTAAAGGCGGAGACGGGGAGTTATCGATCACCGAATGGAAGGATGACGCACTTGAGGCGATGCTCCCGACTTCGTCACAGCTGCTCTTGTCGGACCTGGGCCCGGGCTGAAACCGTGCGAGCAAAGATTCAAAATTCGGTGTCGGCTCTGAGACTACTCGGAAGCTCGCCCTCTTCGGGATGGGTATTGGTGATGATCGATGGTCGTAAGAATAGCGCCGCCCGACAGGAGGCAGGCTGCCGCTCCGTTCACTGTGGGTGTCTATCTCATCTCCGGCACTCCCAAAATCACTTGACTCGCGGTCATCAGAGCACACGCTCCCTTCAAAGTCCAGCGGGCGCACAGGCAGATTGAATGTTGTTTTAGGGCGCCATGCTCGCTTCTTCTTGGGGGTTTTCGCTTCTTCCGGGAGTTGGACGGAAAACCCTCGTTTGAAAGGACAGGGCGTTATTTCATACCGGATTATCTTCGACAGAACTTGTTTCCACTCTTCCACCTTGTGTGCGTCCTCCTCCGTTTCATGCGGAAATTCGATCCGGTAGTACGTGAGCTTCCTCACACGCAGAACGAATTTGGATTTGGCATCAACGCACCAGCATTGGCAGTTTTTTAAGAGGGCATACACCACGTTGCCAGATTTAAGGAAGGCCGCCGACCCAGCAACGTTTTCTATCCTTAATACCCCGATGGCAGCAATTGTTTCAGACCGCGTCTTCCAAGGCAGCGTCTCGATAGCATCAACAGGGTAGTCTAGGTCGGGGAGAATAGGGCTAGAACTGGAGGATTGCGGGAGTTCGAATTTAACGATAGTCGCCGAGGGATGGTAGAACAGCAGATCGTCAGAGGGAATGGAAATGTGCGGTGTGTCGTATGAGCCCAGGGAGTGCCGCATGCGATGCGGAGGTCTGGAAGGAACCGTGTAGGATCGTTTGAGGGACTGGATCGACTCCGCCATTATGAGATGCATCGAGCGAGCAGCCCGTGATTATAGACCTGATGCCCAAGGTGTCGGGATCGCAACTGCATATTCGCATCTGATAGGGAGAAGAACATCTCATGCAGCCCCGGATAACCAACTAGTTAGTTGGCGGGGAGAATGGGCGTTTAGACGACTGGAACTAACAAGCGCCGGTCATACTGTGCCAAGGGGTTGATTTCGCGACAGAGCAAAAGTGATGAATGTCTCGATCTTCCACTCGCAGTCTATCTCATGATAGTTAATTCCACGACTTTTTTATGGTCTCGCTCAGGATGCTACCCGGTTAAAGGCATTTCTGCCCATCAAATGGCCAAAAAAGAAATTCCTCCCCGACAGGGAGTCGAACCCTGGTCTCCCGCGCTTGTTAGTTGACTAACTTGACAAGCGGAAATCATAACCGTTAGACCATCGAGGAATTGTTGCATAGCACAGCTGCTAGATCTTCTGATATCCGATTTACAAGTTGTAGACCCCTTTAGTATCCAAAATTGTAGGGGTTGCCAACAACAGTCCTTGCCCATGCCGGTCCCGAGCATCACTTGAGTGAATCTCATTACTTTGCCATCGAAATGACAACACGGTTGGGGGCGTTCCTCTTCGTGGATAACCGCGTACAACAAGCCTTGTCCTCTCCTCGGCTAACTAACTATTAGCACTTCACTCATTACAAAATCTCACAAAGATCGAACCCCAATAGGATTGGAGAAGATCCCAGAACTTTGGCACAAAATCAACTGAATTCTGGAATTTACCCACTTCAGTCTATCTCGGACGCGCGCCCAACCGACGGTGACCCGCTCTTTCGTGCTCGCTGCAAATGGGAACCAGAGGCCTATGGAACTTGCGTTTTGCCGGTGCGTGATACATTTTCTTGATACTGCTGGGATTAATTGAGTGCCCAAAAGGGAAATGGTATCGACTCCACGACCAGAGGACCCGTATCAGCTCGCCAGACCAGCGGGGCACCGTGAGCCGAATCAAATCCATCATAACTTCGCTGGATAAATTAAATGGCTGGGAGCTGGTGGCCTTCCCCAGCCCGCTGCAATCGAATTTGGACTACATATACACCATCGATGTCGACGCGGGAATCTTGATAATCACTCGGTGGGAGAGCGTTGATGGCCTGCCCCAACCTTGCCCTCGCCAGATATTGCTTTCTTGCCTGGATGAATCGTGTGGACTGGTGCTCGACTCCCTAGCCAAAGTTCCAGGCGGGGTGTCTGAAATTGAAGACGAGGTATTAGATGTGATACCGCAAATCACGCTGAAAGGACTTGATATCCTGCCTGACCAGCCCACTGCCCTAATCGAGCTACAACTTTGCATTTTCCTCGACTTCTGTTTTATATGGCGAGCTTTTATTGACGATCCAACAACTTGGTGTTACCCATCTATGTCATTTAACACACTTGCCATTGGCCTACTACGTATTGCGGCCTGGGACCTTGAAGGTTCTTCCAACACCCAGATTGATTATCAGATTAATGGCACAAACTTTCCTCGCTGGCAGGCTCCTCAAGCCGATATTTTCTGGTTCCATGGATACCTTGTCATGCTTCACAGCTATATCGACACAAGAGCCTCAATCTCGGCAGCCATTTATAAGGCTCAATTTTTTCTAAAGAGTCTCCGAAAGAACTCTGCTTCTTTAATTATCCTATCACTCAGACATGTTGCCTTTGTTGAAATTTCGTCCGCATCTGTTTTATGCTCCCAGATTCTTCCCCTCATTGCCAACACATCGACTTTGCATTGCTCTCCTGGCTTTCGTTTACTATGCTACGTTCTATCTTCATACTGCTGGAAACCATCCCTTGCCTACAGAGAGCAGCTTGGAGTTGCTCTACCACCCGAGGTTCTGGATCTGGTTCTTGGATATTGCACTTCGAGGGACGCACTGGCATTGTCCCAAGCTTCATTTATTTTTCAAGAACGGTACTACTCAACAATTCCGCAAATTCAAAAGCTTTCGGTACGAACCTTTCAGCACTCCGTGTCTTGCTGCGGAAAGAATAATAGTATTCAGAAGCACTGGGTCTATTGCCCATACTGTTACATGTGTCAACACACTCAGTGTGCTGGTTTGGACCCGGCACCGGGGGCAGTCCCTTGGGTTATTTGCTCCAACTGCAACGACGGCAAACTTTGCATGAAACTCGTACCTGGAGGCATCACCCACGCAAGCCGACGGTATCCACGTGCAGGGCGTGAGGTTTCAGTGGCTGGTTCTCTTAAAATACTCAGAATACGACTCTCGAAGCCTGCTCACCTTCGCCCCGAACTGCGACTACTTGGAACCCTTACCACTGTTCCTCCTTGTTTAATAATCTTCACAATTCGCTTTAATGGCATATATGCCGGCCTGGCATACGGGCTGGATGATTTTAAGTGTTTGTCTACAAGAGGAAAATTCTTAGTGATACGCTATTAAACAACTCAAATAAGCAGAGGCAAGATCGCTCTGCACACGATATCCCTATGGCAGGTACTCCGTATTCCTGGGCATTTGATGATCTAGCGTGCAGGAGACGTACTATTTGCCCCATCCGGTGTAGCATCCAGTCGGTGCAACATACCCAAGAGCGGCCAAGTTCAGTAATGGCATTTTAAGGGGCAATCTCCGGCCGCTTCAGGGCGATGTGAACAGAATTGCGCTTCCTCTGGCTTCAACGAAGTGATCATCACATATAAAGCCGAAAATACGTAGCTAGTGCTACATATAAGTGTGAACTGATGGTTTGGAGCCCTGGTATGCTCCATCCACCTTACACTGTGCACTCATTCTACGTAAATAATAAAAATCAAATCTGGGACAAACCTCCCCTTCACGCACTTCTATACAAATTAGCAGCCGATTTCCAAAATACGCAACTATTACGAAATCGTACCATCACTCTAGTGATCTCTACGCAGTAACGCTGTATCGTATGGTATTCTGGCTTTTGTAGTTACATAATCCACGCGTTGCTGCCTGGGCATTGAACCCTCGCGACTCTCTCTTCAATCTCCAATGTTCAAGCCCAACTTATCATCAACCTCTTACGTGCTTCACATCTGAATATATCACATCGAGTTTTGTCTTTTCCCTTCATCATGGCTCAGACATTCCCGCGGTCTACCGCAGTGATAACTGAACTGGCTCGAACAAATGCACAGACTCCTCCCCCGACTAACAATGATTGGACATACGTCGATTACAGCCTACGGATATTAGGCCGGTCGCTTGACAACCATAGCCAGGAAATGGACCGTCGGCATCGGCATCAGATGAACCTCGTCGTGGATCAACTCAGGGAACTTCCTAATATCAAAAGACTAGATAAAATGGAGCAAAAGATAGATGAGAAGTTCGAAGCTGTCGATAAACGGTTCGAAAAAGTTGAGAAAAAGATGGATGAGAGGTTCGAAGCTGTTGATAAGCGATTCGAAGGACTTGAACAAGAGCTTCGTGATATCAAGGCTCAGCTGGCAAACGACAAAGCCATGAAAGCAAATGGACTGCTTCGCCGATTGCACCAGCCCATAAATCCAATCAAAGTCCTGAAGCTCATTCGCTCCAATGAGTACGAGTGGCGATCGCATCCTAAGATGCCCAAACACATGAAAGCCCTCTTCAAGTTAGGTCAGTCGGCCAAGGAAGAAGCTGAAATCCTACCACCACATAGTACGTCCCACAAGTTTATGCTCCATCCAAGGATATTTTAACATATCTTCTAGGGCCACAAGCCGCCCTTAAAACCGTCAGGGAACTAGCCAAGTTCTATGAAGTTGTGGTATATTCGGATGAACAAAGCGAGAGTGAGGCAACTGAGGTTGATGTCGGTGTGGACCCCGATGCTTATATGGATATGCTGCTCGATAAATGGGGAATGGACTGGTCAAAAGTCTGTATGCTTGCAGAAAGGGCCTCGCTCCCTCAGCAACCGCACGCAGGAGCGAAAAGAAAGCCCTAAAATATTATTTACTCCTACTAATGAACAGATATTATTAAAAAACCCCCTTTTTCTTACGGCAACTCGTCACTCCAACCACGGTTGGATTTCGGATGCATTGCACTGGCTTGAAAAATAACTTGCCACTTGAACACGGGTTACTTCATAAAGGCAGAATGAAAGAGACCTCCCGACCATGAAGGCTTAGCACGATAAGAAACATTTATCGGGATGATACAAAGCGGTTGAGCGGTCCGTCCGGATCTTTTGCTGATGACGCGATTAGGAGACATAAAGGGCTTTATTAATTAGTTAAGTGACTAGTTAGTTATCCACTACAGAGCACTTATCAATAGATTTTCTGGTCTTTTGCCCAGTCCACCCCAGCTTTAACCGTGTTGATATCTTCTTGATCTAAGGTTCTCGAGTTCCTGAACCCCTTTGAGTCAAGCTTCCGGCCCGGAATTGCCGTTATGGGAATGGTTGCCGCGGGATGTCCACATCTGTCAGAATGGGCTTGGCTTCCGCGACGACCGTCCTTTGCGATGCAACATCTCAACATCGACATCCTACACCGTTTCCACTCCAGACTGCTAGAGGCAAAAGTAGACTCGTGGTGGTCGAACCGTTTTTCTCTGCCTCTCTTGTCATACACGCCGTTCTCAGCCTGGACTCATTCAAGAGACTTCACGATGACCGGTTGAAATATCACGCCGAGTAGAGTCCCACCAAGTTCGTCCTGGGAACAATGGTGGCACATGCCAGACTCCAGTGTGACGATTTCACACCGCCGTTCCCCAGGAAACATGGCCCGGAGCTGGAACCAGCAACTATCAAACCTAAGGAACATGATTGCCTGGTGGAGTGACGCCTGCACATCGCTTTCGCGGCTTGAACCTCGAGATAGTTACCGTGCTGGGTTACACGATCCACATATCCAAGGATGAAAAAGCTTCTCCAGTGAAAGAGCTTTAGAAAGAAAGATTATTTTTAGTTTTTTGGAAATATATACAGCATGCGGTACCTTTAACTATACTGTTTTCTAGCCGTGCAAGCTCCATAACCTATCCTTGAATTGACCTGTTTTGTATTGTGCGGCAAGAATATTCAGCTGTTCATGATGAAGAGTCCAATATCGTCATGGAATGTTGCCAATCGGCTCAAGAAATGTCGGCTTCTTATCGCAATCAACACCATTGCCGCTCTATCTATTTTCTTCTTCGGTTATGATCAAGGAATGATGGGCGGCGTCAACAATGCGAAAGATTACATCGACCTCATGAAATTTGGCCATACGGCGACGGTCAACGGCTCACCCCATACGCCAGTCATCACTAATAGCTTGTTGCAGGGTGGTATCGTCTCCGTATATTACTTAGGAACATTGATAGGAGCGTTGTTCGGTGGATGGATCGGCGATCGGATTGGGAGAATCAAATCTATTGCCCTGGGTTCAATCTGGGGCATTCTCGGGGCCGGATTGCAGTGCTCAGCGCGAAACCATGTCTGGATGATCTTCGGTAGGTCCACTGATGGCCAACCGGGAAACTAACCAGCAAGCCGACCAAGCGGAAGCTGACCTACAGTTATAGCGCGACTTATCAACGGCTTTGGAACTGGTATCCTGAACGCCATCGTCCCTGTTTGGGCTACTGAAACGGCGGAACACACTTCAAGAGGGCAGTTTATCGCCATTGAATTTACTCTCAACATCTTCGGCGTCGTCGTCGCGTACTGGCTCGAATAGTTGGTGTCGATTGCCTTCTATATTACACATTCCCTGGCCGTCTAGAAACTAACTCCTTTGCGCAGTGGCCTTTCGTATATTGACAATGGGGCTTCAGCTTTTCGATGGAGATTTCCCATTGCATTTCAAATAATTCCACTTCTCATTCTGTTTGGAGCCGTTTGGTTTTTCCCTGAATCGCCTCGATGGCTGGTTAAAATGGGTCGCGATCAAGAAGCACGGTTCATCCTTGCCCGTCTTCGCGGCGATGAGGGCGAGGATGTCTCTCGAGCAGAAGCAGAGTTCCAAGATATCAAACACGTCGCAGAGCTCGAGAAGACTCTCTCGTATAGCACATCTTACTTTTCGATGTTTACGGGCCGCGGTTCGGGGAAACTACACATTGGAAGACGGGTCGAGCTAGTCGTCTGGCTACAAATCATGCAGGAATGGGTTGGTATAGCTGGAGTCACCATCTGTGCGTTATCGAGTTACCCAATTTCCGTTTAGATCGCATGCAAGTGTTGACCGATCATTCGCCAGACGCGCCTACAATCTTCCGAATCGCGGGTTTCGGTGTTATGAAAAGTCAGTGGATAAGTGGACTGAATAAAATCTTCTACATGGTAGAAAACATGGTCTGTCGAGCTCGCGTCATCAGTCGCTAATAAATATTGTACAGATATCGACATTGATTTGCGTCTTTACCCTTGATCGCATCGGTCGCCGATGGACGCTGTATTGGGGCTCCGTCGGGCAAGAAATTGCGATGTTCCTTGCTGGTGGTTTCGCACGAATTGCGATCAATGCTACGAACGCGGGCGATGCCTCGAAGGCATCGCAATTCGGAGCTGCAGCTGCATCCATGATTTTCATTTTCACGTTTGTCTTTGGAGCGACATAGCTGACTGTGCCTTGGCTGTATCCTGCCGAGATATTCCCGCTGGCGGTGCGAGGGAAGGGCAATGCATGGGGAGTGGTGGGATGGAGTGTTGGGAACGGCTGGTTGGTACGCATTATTCTTGAGACTTTGCCCTCATGCTCGATAAAAAACGCTAAAGGGATTAGGAATCAGACCCTACTTTGTCCCGTGATGTTCGATTCGATCGGAGAAAAGACTCTCTATGTTTTCGCCATCAGCAACGTCATCACCATCCCTATGGTCTGGGCGTTTTATCCCGAATCAAACCAGCGTACGTTGGAAGACATGGATCTCCTGTTCGCTGCGGATTCCCCTTGGGCTTGGGACGCGGAGCGCACCTTTGCGCAGCTCAAACATGAGAACCCTAATTTCGCCCAGGCAACGGCGCAGTTGAAGAATGGGGAACTGGATGAGGAGGCCGGGAAGCTACAAGTCGCAGCGTCCAAGGAGATGCAGAAAAGCAGTAATTAAGAGGGGAATCACGCGAAGCTTGGGAGCTTGGCTGGATTCATGATAATATCCTCGATGCAAGCCATCCCTTGATTATCGCCAGGGGGAACCTGTCAATAATCCGCGCCCAGCCATCGCTTCTCTCTTGCTGCTAGCTCAGGGAAATAGATATATTCCTCAAATTCGCTCCCAACATTAGCTGCTCTCAATAATGAAGCCATGCAATATCACTCGAGCATTTCTGTGTTGCCAACATGGATTGCTGCTCAACTGAGACCGTTCAAGAATTTGGACAGTGAACACCTTGTTCAGAGACGGGCCACGTGTTCCACATCCTCAGTTTCTCCTGCATCGAAGCCCTTCACTTCTCCTCACCATCAAACTGTTTGATGCTGAGGAGAACAAGTTCGCGACAGGCACCGTCTCATTAAGAACGCCTTCCTCTTCAGGCTGAGGAAGGTTTGGCCCTTCCTCTCTGGGTCTAGCACCACGCTGGTTTACGGCATGCATGTGATTGGCTATATTCAGGTCATGTGGGGCGACGCGTTGATTTGTCACTTCAGCCGCACTGCCGAGTCGCGTTCAAGTAGAAATACGGCGCGTTGGGCAGCGAGGGCGCCCTCTGGAGGATAGAACTTCCTCTCCAAGGACGAGTGTGAACAGCCGACTGTCGCTTCGCTACTGGGGATACCATTCTGCGTTGCATCGGGAGCCTCTGGTGTTCATCGGCAGCCGATCCTTGTGTCGATCTCCGCCTAGTTTCGGTGTCACACTGTGTCAACCGTGATACCAAGCATTGAGCGACAATTGCTTGGTGGTCTTGTATGCGCCAGCGAGATGGCCGCGTCAAAGGCAACAGCAACAACGAGAGTGAACGCCCGTCGGACTGCGAAGAGTCTGCAACAACGACGGTCTTCGACTCGGCCCTCATCGACTAAACCTGATGTCGTTAAAGCGTCAAAATCTAGTTCGTCGATCACCCATTATCCATTTCCAGTGGACCAGGAAGCCGTTGCTCGCTCTCTCCGTCGTATCTCCAGCCATCCGTCTTTAACCCCATACCGCCGACTGGTCTACCGCACCCTCTTATCCGTTCCCGCAGGCCGTTGGACGACGTACTCCACTTTATCCGCACACCTGTCGTCATCAGCCCGCGCCATCGGCAATGCAATGAAGACGAATCCTTTTGCACCTGAGGTCCCGTGTCACCGCGTCCTTGCGACGGACCGCACCATTGGCGGTTATAAGGGGAAATGGGGGAACGGGGGTGAGTATTCTGTCGAAAAAACGGCGCTGTTGAAAGGCGAAGGGGTTGTGTTTGATGAGAAGGGCAGAGCCGGTGGAGAGATCTTTCGGGATTTCGCGGACATGGGGTCAGTGATGGCGGCAAGGGTCGAGAGATAATCTTGAGGATGGGGGCAGGGGAGGATGGAAGCGTGCGGAAGAGTTTAATTGTGTGCAGTGTTGGAGATTCTTTTCCGCTCGAGAAAAGAAGTGATTTTGCCCATCAAAAAAGCCCGCCACATGCCTAGATCTCACCATTCCGGCTCCCAAGCACTTGGAAGTTGTAAAAAGCTCCGCGTTCCTGGCAGTCAAGACTCTCGGCGGAGGGCTCGGCGCCGCCTGCCAAGCCGCTTCCGAGGAAATTCAACACGGAATGCTTCATGACTCCTGAACCCCTGGCCCCGAGTTTCCAACCGGAAGAGTGCTGCGAATCCAGTCGCCTTCCTCCATCCATGGCGCTGTTCTCCTGCTTGGCGCTATTTCAACGTTTTCCTGTGTGAAGCTCGGCCGGATGCAACGTCACCGCAAACCTGTCAGATGCTGGAGACCGCCTCCCGGCATAAACCTGCGTCGGGGGTCGAGTACTGGTGTATTAAACCGACACTATTCAGACACGGGTCGAGCAAGTTGGCGTTTTCCAAAACGGATCTCAAAACAAGAGGCAGACTGCCCTTTTCGGGTCCGGATTCTATGGACGAAAGAAGTTCCAGAGCAAAGCCATTCCTCTTTCGAGTTGCCCAGGTGCTACTATCTCCAATGCGGCTACCCAGAGATGGGGAGGACACACGTTAGGCCTGCCGGATTTATGCTGGTTGAATCAGCGTTGATGCACACTTGACACATCCTTCCTGCCAGGCCCTGGCCTGATTGCCCTCTTTGGCCTGAACTCTGTATGCTTGTCATATCTGGGTTAGAGTCGCATCCTCGATGGAGAACAGACATATATAGACCCTCGTTGGCTCCACCCTGCTCTCTGGCACCGTCAGTTCGCAGGTGGTCAGTGTTGTGCGGGTAACAAATATCGAACTGGTCTTCGCCGCTCTTTTGTTCTTATTATAATTACTACTTCTTTTCCTTCTTTTTTTCTTTCCTTTCCCTTCATTCATTTCGTCTTTCCCTTGCTCGCTCTCTCAGGGAAGAGACTTTTTATTTGACGCTTGAAGATTTCTACCATGGCCCTCCTTCTCCCCCTTCTTCTTCTCTTCAATGTCCCCTCTGGCCCTTGGCCTCGTGTGCGCATGGGCACATACCTTCCATCCACCGCGCCGTGGGGCGGGCATTGGTGGAGC